CCGGGCCTGTCGCGCGGGCTGCCGCTGCCGATGGCGAAGAACGCCAAATCGTCCCCGCCACCGACGGCTTGCCTTCGGAGCGGACCGCTCTTGCGCCGTCGTTGTCCGGTCGTTTGGCGGCAGCGTTCTCGCGATCGTTGGCGGAAGCTACGGGCGACGCCCCCGGCGATGCGGCGGCGGCGTCGGCAGCGGGGGAGCGGGTTTCCCAGGATGCAGCAGCAGCAGTAGCGGCAGCCGCCAATCACTCTTCTGTGGAGGGGGCGGCGCACGAATCCGCCGTCCGCGTGCTGTTTCCTACGGCCATGGGTAGTAGTACTAGTAGTAGTGCGATGGAAGCACTGTCCCCGGGCGGGGATGCCTCTGGCACCCGCGAACGAGCTGGTACTTCTGTGTCACAGGCAACTGTCACCGCTGGCACCCGCGAGCGAGCTGGTACTTCTGTGTCACAGGCAACTGCCACCGCTGGCACCAGCGAGCGAGCTGGTACTTCTGTGTCACAGGTAACTGCCACCGCTGGCACCCGCGAGCGAGCTGGTACTTCTGTGTCACAGGCAACTGCCACCGCTGGCACCAGCGAGCGAGCTGGTACTTCTGTGTCACAGGCAACTGCCACCGCTGGCACCCGCGAACGAGCTGGTACTTCTGTGTCACAGGCAGCATTCACCGCTGGCACTCGCGAGCGAGCTGGTACTTCTGTGTCACAGTCAGCTTTCACCGCTGGCGCCCGCGAACGAGCTGGTACTTCTGTGTCACAGGCAACTGCCACCGCTGAGATGACAAATGACGAGGAGTATGACATGCTCTAACGGGACATATCCTTCTTTTCGNCAGCATTCACCGCTGGCACTCGCGAGCGAGCTGGTACTTCTGTGTCACAGGCAGCTTTCACCGCTGGCACCCGCGAACGAGCTGGTACTTCTGTGTCACAGGCAGCATTCACCGCTGGNCGGGACGGAGCACGCCGGGTTCTCACCGGACCAGGCTCTCACATCACCAAGCGCGAAGCGCCGTGAGATATTCGGCGAGTCGCATGAAGGGTGCGCTGCATCCTGCTAAGGGTTTTCGGCATCTTGTGCTTACTTCCTTGCGTACGGATGGCAGCTGCGTATGACATTATATATTTCTGGTGCTTTCACTTCCAGGGACAGTTGTAA